CCCACCACACAACTCGTAGGCTATTGTTGTTGTCACTAGTTACAATGGCTTATGCACGTCACCACCTCTGCCAACACATTGGCTACCACGATCAACTTTCCAAGATGGTGCTTGTTGTTGTCACCCATCACCCACTATCGTTGCTTGCAGCTAACCACTACCAATGCAACATTATTATCAAAGATTGTTGTTAACTTGTTATGCAAGCTCCCGTTACTACCACCAATCACCCATGTTGACCTCATTTTTTGTCGCATAGGACTCGCACGGACTTCACCTCATGGGCTGGCACACCAAAATTGGCTAAAAGAGCACCCTGCCATTTTTGGCGGCCACACCAGGCCAAAAATGGGCAGGGTGGCCTGAGCGTGACCACTACCCAAAGTACCTTGGCGTGGTCACACCCGACCTAGGCGTGATCACACCCGACTTAGGCATGATCACACCGTAAAGTACCTCGGCATGGTCACACTAGGTCTGGGCATGACCACACCCAGACAAACTGAGTCAATGATATGTGGCCTTCGTCCCTGGATCAAGCCACAAATCGCCGCACCCTTTTACCGGCGGCAATTCGTGGCTCACTAACCGGCAGGTTAACCTTCTCCGTCGGCTCACTACATCATCAGACGACTCTAGAGGGTCCAACCACTGCTTTCCACATCTATAAAAGGGGTCTCCGACAAGGGAATAGGACGATTAGGGCACTGCTAGCAGAGGAACAAGAAGTGCAGAGGGAGAAGAAGGGAAGCAACTCTCCGACAAGCCATCTCCTTCGGACAAACTCTTCTCCTCCCAGTAAAATATCCTTTTTCCCTTAATTTAAGCATTTTTATTTAAATGTTTAAAACTAGGTCAATCAACTCAAAGGCCAAGAATTAGGCTTGAATTTGGGCTTGACATGGGTTGACTTGAACCCAGCCTAACCCAAATTCACCTCAACAAACTTAACCAAAACCCTAGACCTAACCCAACTTAGGTCTAGCCCAAACCTAACCCAAACCTTAGACCTAACCCGACCTTGGAATAATACAAACCTAACCCAAACCCAAACATAACCCTAACCCTAGACCTAACCCAACCCAGGTCTAGCCCAAACCTCCAAACCCTAGATCTGACCCAACATAGGTCTAGCCCAAATCTAAGACAAAATCTAAACCTAACCCAACCTAGGTCTGGCCCAGATCTGATCCAAACCATAAAACCCGACCCACCTCTAACCTAAATCAGTTCTGACCCAACCTAGACCTAATCCAAACCCTAAACCTGACCCAGGTATGACCCAACCCAGACTTTATCCAAACCCTAAATCAGACTCAGGTCAAACCCAAATCAAACATAAGCTAACTCATGTTAACCTAGCTTAACCTGAGTCAAACCCAAGTCAAACCTAAGCTAATCCAAGTTAACCTAGCTTAGCTCGAGTCTAACCCAAATCAAACTTAATTCAGTCTAGGTCAACCCAGCTTAACCTAGGTCAAACCCAAAGAAAACCTAAGCTAACCCGAGTCAATCTGCTTAATTCAGGTCAAACCCAAATCAGTTCCAAGCTAACCCAGGTCAACCCAACATTACCCGGGAAATTCAACCCAAGACAAACCAATTCACCTCAAGCCCAATCCAAGCCCAAACCAGCTTAACCACATCATACCTTAGCTCAATCTCCAACTAACATAAGGTAAAAATTTAGCTTACCTCTGCTCAACCCGAACCCAAGCTTAATCCAAGGCTATGTGTTACTTTACATGTTTTAATTTATATGTTGTTTCATGTATCGTTTAATGCTTTGTTCATCTCTTATTTCTTTCCTGCTATTTCATGTTAGAAATTAAAACAAAAAATAACAAAAAAGCACATAAAACAAAAATAAGGATGAGAACTTAGTTTTCTCCTTAAACGCCACAAATTAAAATTCAAATGAAACAAAACTCAAAATATAAACAACCTTTGATTTCTCAACATGACCAAAAAATCTAGGAATAAAAAAAAAACATGAATGCAAATATAGAACTTTAAATGAACCTTTAAAACATACAAAGATAAAGAACGAGAATTAAACCTAGGGTAGATCCATCATTAACCTTAGGCTAGCTAACTTAGATATCAAACCGAGGCCCTCACACTTACCCCAGGTTAGTCTGAGTATAGAAGACTAGGTTAGTCTAGTTACCCTAGTTGGTACTAAGGATTAGAACATGCAAAACAACAAAGTTTTCCCGTGAGGCTAGAGGGGATGCCTTAGAATGATGTACCCATGATTTTTAACTAAAGTATTTCAGACTACTTCGATATTATGAATCATCCATGCTCTGACATTTAAGGGGGATTCCTGGTTATGAGATTGGTCATAGTCGAAGGATACCAACGTTCACGAGACAATGGAAAGCCATGTGCATCTTTACGGGGGATGTTATTTATTATGTAGGCTAAGGTTTCATTTTCTGTTTATAAATCTTTTCCTTCCTGATACTATTTTGAGCTTAGGGTTCCTAATCACTCATGTCAGTCAAATCCAACATCTCAGTCTTTTTCCATGGCATGTCATCAGATTGTAAATTCCATCATTTTAAAGCCTAAATCCTCTTAACTAGACTCCCCCCTTCCAATCATGAAAGTCCATTCTTTAGCAACTTGACTTGTCATATTAGTCGAGAGGTTTTCTTTAGAATTGATAGCTATAAAGATGTAATTAATTATAAATGATTTCCTTTACACGAACGAGAACTCAAGATAAAAAATAAACCTTATCTTACACATGTATGCTAAGAGAAGAATTTTGGTTCTGTAGACCCCAAAATATTTCCATTATCCGAATGGTGGAACCCATCATAAGGTAATGTCTTTATCCCTTGGGATAATACATTATTCTTCAATTGTTATTTTCGATCGGTTAGATAGGGAATCTTTCGAGATCTATGATGACGCTTACAATCAATAAAATCCCCCACCAGCCCACACTATCACCACTACTTGCAATAACAGATTCTTGTTGACTGCTACTATTGCCACTCGCCATCACCACAACCGCTGGCCACCACTCACCATTCGCTACCGCCATGGCCTTGGGAGGCCTCAAGAGTACTCCTCAACATTTCAATTTTTATAATAGAAGAGGGGCTTTTTTTATATTGCCCCTCTTAACAAAATATTGTTGCCCTTTTGCCCAAATATGTTGCTGAAAGAACCTCTTGAAACTCCACTTCTTTGCCCAAAAAATCATGCTCATTGCCCCGTAGGCTCATCAAGGCAAGCTAAAAAAGTTCTCTGAAAAATATTTAAACATTTTCAACCTTGAAACCCACATGGAGCTTTATACAAGAGGATAGGTTGCTCGGCTATTTTATTGAGTGCAGACATTTTTTTAGCTTTTGGCTTGAAAGCTTCACATTAAAGTTTTGGGGCATTTACACACATACCACCCAATTCTAATGTATTTAGATTTCTAGTATCTAAACTTAAATTTTACATTTATACCAACCAAATCTTTCATATCACATCAAAAATATCAGCATCTAACTTTTATATACAGAACGCAACATGCATGCAAAAATTAAAGTTTAGGCGTTATATATATAAGCACATTAAGATTTGAGTGGTGTGTGGGTAAATCTTTCTAAAATTTAATAGGGACATTTACATGTGTATGTATTTACATATCTAACACCAAAACTCTATTTATTTTATACTATCCCAATCTCTCATATCACATAAAAAACTTCCACTGTTTTAATTAAAACAAAAAGGGAAATACACTTTCCATGCATAGAAAAGGTATCATATATATTATAATTGAAGTTTAGGTGTTAGATATGTAAATACATAGGAACTGAGTGGTATGTCTATAAATCATCATAAATAATGTATATACATATATGTTACTAATTTAAACTTTTTAGTTGTAACTTATTTTTATGTTATATGTTTAGTCAAACTGGAGCTTTAATTGAACATCTTAATGCGCGTGTTTGAGAGTTTTAATTAGAATTTGAGGAGTCCTCCATAATTATCTTATATTGAGGACCAGATAATCCTATTTTTTATCCGCCGTGCCACTTAATTACACGGTTGCTGGGATGATTGTCTCCATTCTTGTCGCTTGCAGGCGCGGCTAGCTCTTACCACACCAGCTACAAAACGGGCGAAACGACAATATGACAAAATTATATTTCAACTATTACTAGTTTTAACTTTATCTTAATCCCAGACACAAGAAAGTAGCAAATTTCAAGTGAACATCAGTAAATCCAATGGTCCGAAAGAGAGCAAGTACTACAAGTGAGAGTTCACCGACAGAAGTCCTAACGACCCTCTTATCTCATTAGATGTAGCCAAAGTCAAAAGGTCAGCCAAGTTAGGAGAAGGATTAAAAGAACCTCCAGACTATTTCGAGTTTGAGCTAGTCAGAATAAATGAAAACATGTAAGTATCCTAGCTAATCATTAAAGAGAGTCGAGCGAAGACAATGACCTGCCTTACGGTAGATACGACCCGAGAAAAGAATTAAATTTCTCAATATTATCAAGCATCCCATGGATGCTCCTCGAACTCTTATCAGGAAAATCGAGAAATGACAATACAACAGAACCTCATAATTAATCTTTCTACAGGCTTCCCTCATCTATAAATGAGCTACTTATCCGATTATGGTGATTCATCCTCTACCCAAAAACCTAATCTTGTTCTGCCGATTAGAGCTCAGCATTCTTAGATCGAGGGTTTGTAGCTACCAAGTTTATACGCTCTTGTTATAAGTAGAATACAAAATTTATACCCTCTTATAGGGAAATAATTTCATACAGAATGCATGCGTGCTTATTATATTAATCATGCAATACCTCACAATAAATTATGAATAACAACCTGCGAAGATTATTAAGATTATAAGTTATTGAAATTAATACCTCAATAATTTTATCATAGTCCTCTAATAATCTGAAGTGGAAGTTATTAAGGAATTATCAAGCAGCTGCTTGTTTGTAACCAGAGTATACAAATTTTATATTGGAGTCCGTCCGCAGGTAATATTTTTCCCCTCTTTCGGCTTAATGATCTTCCCTTCGCTTCTGTCTGGCCTGCTCCTCTTCTCTCCCCCGCTGCCTCTCCCAGCGGCCGCCAGTTTCGATTCCGAATACGCTGGCCGTAGTACGGCTGCTGTACGATTACTTAGCTCTATGGCGGCGCCGCCGGTGGCTAGGAAGGTGAGGCATGAAATGGAGATGTTCGGCGACGTTCGTGTCGACAATTACTACTGGCTGCGGGACGACTCTCGTTCGAATCCCGATGTTCTCTCCTACCTCAACTCGGAGAACGAGTACACCGATCAAGCAATGTCGAGTGAGCTCCATACCGCCCTTATTTATTTACTCATTTTTTCCTTGTTCACTCTCACTTGATTCAATGGGAATTTTTTATGTTGTGAATTCCATTCTCTTTCATGGTTGAAAGGAAAAATGGGGATTCTTATCTTAGAAAAAGGAGGAAGAAAGGTTTGTGAATAAAGGGTGTGGCTCGACTCTGCCGAATCCATGATCAGCTGATAGTAGTCCCCTTGCTCTGGTTACTTTCATAAACTAAAAAAATATCTGGAAAAGATTGATCATTAATTTTTATTAAACATGAAATTGTGAGTTAATATTTGAAGTTTTACATTAGAGAATTGTTATACTCGTTTGATGAATAAGGTGTAAATTATCTTCACTTTGTCGACTATCTTGACTCAAGAAAATGGTCATCAAGTTATGCTTTTTTATTAGGAGGGTATTTCTTGGAGAAGTTTTAAACAATCATTAATTGCCCGAGTTCAACTACAGAGGCAAAGTTTATATCATATTTTGAAGCAACACTATAAACTATTTAGCTTAGAAGTTTTAATTTAGGGCTTAAAATTGTTAATTATATTTGTAGATCACGGAGGACATATGATAATTTTGTTGCGATGTTTTTGGCTAACAATAATTGAATTAGGAGTCAAAGTATACACATCGACATATATTATTTAGCCGATAAAGAACTTGTTAAAGTAAACAAGGTGGCAGTATATCGGTAGTGCATTAATAATAATTGTTTCCTTGGCTGCAACGTTACCATCATAGTTGTAGAAAAAATGTGTGTAGAATGTGAAACTTAGCTCTATTATATAAAAGCGTAATTGAGATTCATTTTCATCTGAATAAAAATTTTTAGCACTTAAAGCTTTAGTATTTTTATCTCTTTTTTGGATTTATACATAAATTTTTGAGGATGACACTATAGTGATTTGATAAAGATATTGCATAAACGATCATTAATAAAACATAATATTTTATCACAATATATGGAAGTTAATGCTCAATTTAGGTGATTTTCACAGTGATTCATTGTTTTTTACTCTTTTATTTGAGTTTAAAGATTTGAGAGCAATAATTTGTTCATATAATGATAAATATGAAATTAAGATCAATGGGCCAAGTGTAAGAGTATAAAAAATGATTGAATAAAATGTAATGAATATTCATTAAATATAATTTAATTAAAACAATTATATTAATTTATTTAATGCTTAAGTTGTCCTTTAAATTAAGATATCTACCATATTGTTTTAATTACTTACTATCTCTCATTTGTAGGAAGGAAGTGGCTATCCATTCAAGAGATGTCTCATTTGTGAAAAGGGCATGACCATCCATTCAAGTTATCTTATTTGTAAAAAGGGCGTGACTATCCATTAAAAAAGTGCTTGTAGTTAAGCTATATAGCTTCTCAATGGGAGAGGAACACATATGAACTTAAGTAATTAAGGATTTTAGGTCCGATAAGATAAACCTTTGTGATTCTATCATTTTATAGGATATAAATTGCTTGGATAAACTAGAAAATTCTTTTGATGTCCATCTTAGGGTCTGTTTGGAGCAGCTGTAGCTTTTTAGCTACAATTACTCTGCCCCAGGAAGCTGCTGCGGGGAAACTGACTATCTGTTTGTTGCAACTGTGTGAAAACAACTGTGGGGCTGCTTTTTATGAAAAAATGATTATTCTGCCCCTATTTAGTAAAGTTGTTTAGAACCGAACTGTGACAACCACATATTTGATAATTCAGAAACATAAATTCATTTCAAAACAGAATAAAAATTCAGATACACAACTCACTTAATAGTGAATACTGAAAGTGCTAAAGAAAAAAAAAACTAATAACATTACAAATAAAATAATGATGATAGTATTTTTAACATGAAGATGATGTAAGTCTCGTCCTAAACGATCCTCCAACGATTGTATCAATTTGTGATCACTTTCGACAGTATAATCAACTTGACCGTCAGCCTGTCGGAAAAAGTCACACTTTTCTGCGAGACTCCGCGGGCATCTGTAAAACTGTCTATCGTAGTTATGGGGCTGACGTGACCTTAGAAAGAAACTCTCTAGTCCGCAGTGGCGTGACATTCTTCTGGACGTCTCTGAAATTTTGGAGCTCATTTTTCCTGAAAGCAGGGAAATTAAAACTTCAGTATTTGAATCCGGCTATCGATAAGCATTATATTTCTTTTGTATTATAATATACTTTTCACTCGACGGACACGTCGATTATTTCATTTGGGTGGTTATTATAACTGTTTGCCCCTATAAGTAGGAGGTTAGGACATAAATGAAAGGGGGACATTCTCTCTCTCTCTTCTTCTCTCAGCTCCAACTCTCGGGGTGTGTATACTAAAAGACAGGCTAGAATTCAACAATACCAATTAATCCACATATCAAATTTCATCATAACTAAATTTAAAACTTGTGGAGCGCCCTAAAAACCAAATTTACTATCACTTTGTAAGAAAAGCATTATCGCCTTCAGTGGTGGATTATCGCCAAATCTGAGAAAACTAGAGAGAGAGAGAACAAAGAAAACATAAGCTATAATCAGGAAAATACAAAAGAACTACAGTTGATGACAAGGAGAATTGGACCCCATATATATATATATAGTCTGTCCGGTGGGTCGTGCCCAAGAAATAGAGCCAGATTTTGAGAGGTGAAAAAAGATAGGGAGAGAAAGAGAGAGAGAGGGAGGGTTACCCCGCCGGGGGACAAATAGGGGAGGTCTCCTGGCTCGACAACCCCTTTCATTCCACACAGATGAGGTTACAGATGAGAGAAAAGAGGAACAAGCTTCCTGCATTAGAGGGAGAGAGAGAGCCTAAAGAATCCCCTTTACATGCCAAGGAGTCCTCTATTTATAGGAGGTGAAAGTAGGGGGATATTTATTATTACAATTTTGCCCTTGATTTATGAAAGAAACTACATGATATTTTGGCCTTTGGTCATTAGAGCATATTGTCGGAGACTTTGTCGGCTCTCGGATTTGATCTTCGGCTAGTGACCATATGGAAGAGTCACATTTCTAGGAGGTGGTCGACGAAAGGGGGGCGGTCAAGAAAGTCGTTGGTGAGATGAGATTAGTTGGAGAAGCGGCTGTCCAGAGGAGGCTGGCTGAAGTGGTGGTAGGTTGACAGGCAGTCAGCTGGAGTGTCGACCGGCCAAGGGAGTTGGCTATGTTGGAAGCTCGCTGGAGTAGCGGCCGACATGAATATTAATCATCCAAGGGAGGTTGTGGAAGCGTCGAGTGACCATGGGAGGCGAGTGAAGAGGTCGCTGACCAATGGACGGTCGGTTTGAACGTTGCTCTATTAGAGCGTGGCCTGCTAAGAGAGGACCCGTAGGAGCGTAGGCTAGTTATGAGAGGCTGGTTGAGGTGCCCGTCCGGCTAAGAATGACCAACGGGAGCGTAGGCCGACCGTGAGAGGTCGATTGAGGCGTTGTTCGGCTAAGAGCGGTCGACGGGAGTGTAGGCCGGTCATGAGAGGCCGGTTGGGGAGTCGTCCGACTAAGAGAGGCCGATTGGAATGTTGTCAAAATAAGAGAGGCCGGCGGGGAAGGCCGTCGGCCAATTAATGCCAGCTGGAAGGGCTGTTTGTAGGTCGTGGCTTGTTGTCAAAGAGTTGGCCGAAGGAGGCAGGAGGTAGGTACTGTATGATGTGATTTATGTTCTTGATTTGATATTTTTCCTATTAAAGAAATTGACACACTTTCCCAAAAAAGTGTCGATAGTTTCACATGGTTCAAAGTCATGACTAGACGTTTTATATTTTTCTGTCACACACACACACACACACACATATATATATATTTATTTGGGCAGTGCGCTATACTCATTGTAATAGACATGCAATAATAGCTTTTTTTGCTTATGTAGGGCATGGTACTTTGGCTAGTGTGAAAAAACAATATCAAAATTTTACAAATAAAGAAACGAGTGATGGGGAGGAGCATTGATGAAATAAACAATTAAAAACCTTCAAAGTAATTTTGAAGAGAATGCCAAGGCGTTTGATATTTAAGAAATCAATGATCAAGTAGGAAGATGTTAGGGTTAATATCGAAAGCTAATAAAAATGAGATTTGTTTGCAATGGATGAATTTATTTTCTTGGTAGAAAATATGAGATCGTTCGGACCAAAGTTTTGGTATATTATCTAACAAATGGAGGCAATTTTAGGCAAATTGGATATGTAAGTAAGAAGTTGTAAGTTTTTTTTTGGACTGTCATAGCCTGTGGGTATTAAGATTTTGATTTTGTGAAATGTTTTATTTTAAGGAGTGAGAATGATGAATATAGTGATGCTAGAATGAAAAACACAATACTAACCAAGATAACTAGTTTTTTTCACCAAGGAAAAACTAAAGGCCGGCCACCAAACTACAACTCAATGAAAATAATTTTTATGTTTTTAAACCATCGAAAACTGATTTCATTGCTCTAAGAGGACTATTAATAGCTTTTACAACCATTGCTAAAAGCAAATAATAATAATAATAATAATAATAATAGTAGTCATAGGAAGAATGGTGGGAGGCTAAATTTATTGAGGTAGTAAATTGCCTCTACATTCTATGTAAAGGAGAGAAATGTGTGCGGCTAATGTATTGGAGGTATTAAATTGCCTCTGCACTCTATATAAAATCTTAACTTTCCATTGCTCAATCCTCTATTTCTTATGCAAAACATAAATGTTTGAATTCTAAATTCAGAGTTTCAAAACCTTAGATTTTATAGAAAATTTAAAAGTACATCTTTTAGAATTCAAGCATAAAATGGACTTGAGCGGGCTAGGCTTTCTTGTTTCTTGAATTATCTTAGGTTATTTCTTGCGATTCAATGAATAATCTTTGTGGGCCTCCACATTGCTGTTCTTGCACTTCACTACCTTCATCCTTTAATTTTATGAGGGATCTTTGCAATTCACGACGGTATTTTGCATAAGAAATGCTTGTGATTTTTTTCATGTTTATTGTGGAGGAAACAATCCTCAAAATTGGAATTGTAATTCAACATGTTAATATATCTAAATATTTTTCTTTAATTATTATGCTAAAAAATGAGCTCCTGTTTTGCATCACCATATAGGTGATCAAATAATTTATCAAATATCAAAGAAATTTTTGGCAAGTATACGAATTTCATAACTTTTTAGTTTGACATTTCTTCAAGTATTTTAACCCTTATTCAACCCTTCACCCACCCATGCACATGTGGCACCATCCCTACCACACACATTTAATTTTTCTTTTTTTTCCCCGTAAATATGCTAACATTTAGACATTCAATTCTAGGTGTTAAACAGTTTGAGGATAAGTTATATGCTGAGATAAGAGGAAGAATTGAGGAAAGTGATATCTCAGCACCTATTCGGAGAGGGTCATATTATTATTATGAAAAAACTTTGCAAGGAAAGGAATATATTCTGCATTGCAGGCGTCTTATCACTGATGAAACTTCTTCTGTGCATGATTTCATGCCCATAGGACCTGAAGCACCCAAGGAGCAAGTTATTCTAGATGAGAACGTTAAGGCTCAAGGCCATGTTTATTATCGCATCGGGGCTTTCAAAGTAATCTTTGATTGTTTAAGCATTTTGGTTCAGTTTCCTCTCCTTTCATATTTTACATTTTTGTACTTGTTTTTGCAGGCTAGCCCGAATAATAAACTTATAGCTTATGCTGAAGATATTAAAGGTGATGAGATCTATACTGTTTATGTGATTGATGCCGATAAAGGTACTGCTGTTGGCAATCCCTTGAAATCAGTAACTTCAAATATAGAATGGGCAGGAGATGACACACTACTTTACATTACAATGGATGAAATCCTTCGTCCTGACAAGGTTATAGTATTGGAATTTAAAGTTATTTTCTAGTGATTCAGTTAAATAGATGAAGTTTTGCGCAAATATGGCTTATACCTTTTTGCTAGGAATAAATCTCAAATTGGTCTCCTGTCGATTCATATGTGGCTAATTTAGTTTCAGAATTTTATAGCACTCCAATTTAATCCCAAAACTATTGCAAATTGATCTCAGTTGATTCCTTGTCTAGAAATTATGACACACAAACAGTTCAAATTGAGCCCCAATTGCACGACATTGGTCTCAATTCAGTCCCTGAGTGATCAATTAAAATCAATTTCAATTGCCGGGGGACTAAATGGAGGACTATAAAATTCAGAGAGTAAATTGGCCACATCCAAATAGTCAAGAGATCATTTTGGAATTTAACTTCTTTACTAAAATTCACTTTATCATCTGTACTGTTACCAAGTAGAATGTTTTGAATTTTTCTTGACCATTGCGTGAAAGCCAATGCTTTTACATGAGATATCACTTTTTCCACATCACTTCTCTAAATTTATCAATTTATTTAAGTCCAATGTCCTTAATACTTATGTAGGTATGGTCTCATAAATTGTTATCAGAACAGTCAAGCGATAAGTGTCTCTACCATGAGAAGGATGATATGTTTTCTGTTGATCTCCAAGCTTCTGAAAGCAAACAATACATTTTTGTTGGATCTGAAAGTAAAAATACCCGGTTTCTATATTATCTTGACATTTGCAACCAAGAAGGTGGACTTAGGACTTTGACTCCTCGAGTTTATGGTATTGATACGTCAGCTAGTCACCGTGGAAACCATTTTTTTATCAAAAGGAGAAGTGAGGATTTCTATAATTCTGAATTAGTTTATTGCTCAGTGGACAACCCATCTGAAACAAAAATGTTATTACAACATCGAGAAAGGTGATATTTCGATAGTTTATGCTCATATTTTTTTGTATTTTGAATATAAATGAATTTTCTTTGAAGTTTTAATGTGCTATATGCTAAATCCTCTCTTTTTTGTGGTTTAATGGGGAAGAACATCATGTTGTATGTTATTTAGTCTCATGAAGGAGCCAAAGTTAGTTGTATGTTATTTGGTATGTTGACGGAGCCAATTTGAGATTTCTTTTATTTTTGTTATGTGCATGTAAAATGCCTTTTCCTCAATTATATAACAGGATATTTCTTTTTTTTGCTTTAAAGATTTGGGCATATTGTATAAAAAATGATCTTAATATATTAGAATATATAATTAAATGAAAATATGACACTCAATAGGACACAATGGAGAAAAAGGATTCATGTAGGCGACCCCCACTTAGTGGGATAAAGTTGTCGTCTTACAATGTTTGTCATCTATTATACGGTTGATTTGTCTTGAATCACAACTTTAAGAATATTAATATTTGCTTATTGGTTGTTTGTGCAACAAATTGAAGGGAAGTTAACATATATATCCATTATGTTTGCTCAATAATTTTTTGATCTAGTAGTCTAAACTTCTGACTTGGTGAAAAGTTTTGATGTAATACTCAAAATTTTGCTGAGGTAAAGCCAAAATTTTATACCCTATTTTTTTGCACCTCATGAAAATGACAAATAGCATTTTTTTAAAATTTTAAGTTTAGTAGAATCACACATTTGCACGCATACATAATATCTATCAGGTTATCCTATAAAAGTTATACTTGACGCAGCCTTGCCACATGCTATTTATTCTATCTCCTTGATACAAATATCTTTTGTTGCTATTTTAATTTCTAGAGTACACTTATTGTTAGAGAAGATTCTCTCAGTTTCAGGAAGTCCGTTTACACTACTTGCTGTCTCTATTTTCTGGTAAACATGAAGACAACTAGTGATATGCATAGTTTCATTTTCCTACATGATGGGCTCCAAGCCAGGGCAAGGAATACCTTAGTCTAAGGACAAGCAAAAAGCAAGACTATTCAATCTCATTCGAAAATAAGGTCAAATATTCTTTGGGAGTTCTAGATCAATTCGTACTATTATGCACGTGTATAATATAAGTGTCTCGCTGATCTGATTTCATACATGAGACGCCTATTTATGTTAAAGCTTATAATGTGTGGTCTTTCTCTAGACTTGCTTATGGATTTAGGCAATCACTTTTATGGGTTTCTCATGCTGCTTTAAATTTATAACACATCGTCAAGATAGTAGTATTAAATAATGAAATTTTCCATGACTTCGGAAGTAATATGAAACTAATGGTAAACTTATTCACAATGTCAAGACTCTTTATTTTTATCCTAATTGTATTTCCTGGACCGCTGTACCTTTTTTCTAATACTAAACTTTCCTTGAAATGCCTTTTTGTGTATTGTTTAGTGCTTTTTATATCAAAATATTGATGAATGGTTACTCTTTTTCAGTGTGAAAATTCAAGATTTTCAGCTGTTTAGCGGTCATATTGCTGTTTATGAGAGGGAGAATGGCTTACCAATCATAACTATGTATAGCCTTCCACCAATTGGTGAAGCAATTGGACCACTCCGAGATGGTCGAACAATTGATTTTATTGATTCTATTTACTCAGTGGAAACTGAAGAATCAGAATTTTCTTCTGCCATTCTACGCTTTGCTTATAGTTCGCTGAAAACACCTCCATCTGTGTATGACTATGATATGAATTCTGGCATATCTGTTCTTAAGAAGATGAAGCCGGTAAAGTATATTTTTTGATTTTCCTATTGTTTTATGCTTGTTTATGAAAAGAATGTGGAAAGAAATTCAGATTTTTTTCTTTTTCATTGTGCATCTAACTAATATATATACATACAGTGTATAATGAATATATATGGAAACTGGAGAAAAAGAAAAGAATAAAAATAAAATATTCTCTTCCTAAATTAGATCCTCATATTAAGAGATTTATTTTATTTCTAAGCGGGATTCCTATATCAAGAGAATTATTCTATTCGTAAATTGGATCCTCATATCAAGCGATTTATTACACTCTTAAATTAAAACTTCACAAAAATAATTTTCCTCTTTCCAAATCTCGCCCTCAAGTTAGTGAATAGATTCAATCCATTCCCAAGTTGGATATGTTGAGAAGTCATGGATATTAAGTCGCTTTGTAAACACGTCCGCAAGTTGTTCCTTTGAAGATACATAAGGAGCGTTGATCAATTTGTTGTCTAACTTCACTTTTATAGAGTGTCTATCTATCTTCATGTGCTTTGACTACTATGTTGTACCGAATTATGAGCAACATTGATGGTGGACTTGTTGTCACAATATAGTCTCATAAGTTTCTTGCATTTTAGCTTGAGATCTTCAAGGATGATCTTTATCCATAGTAACTCACACACATCTTTAGCCATAGTCCCCAACTGTGCTTCTGCACTTGATCAAGCGATCACATTTTGTTTCTTACTCAACATGACTATATTATAAGCTATTATAGAAAGCTTATCAACCAAAGATCATGCATAGTCTGCATCCGTGTAAGTTTCAAGAATCAGTCCCTCACCTTTTTTGAATAAAATTTATTTTCCTTGATTAGCTTTTAGGTAGTGAAGTATCTGATTGGCAGCTTGTAAGTGACTTTCGTTATGGCTCTGCATGAATTGACTTACTGCACTCATAACATAGGCAAATACCGGGCCGAGTATGCGTGCCGAATGCATTAACTTTGAGACCAATTTTTAGAACCTGCCTGTCAGTATTTTCCTCTCAAAGTTTGTGATTGGGATCAATCGGAATTGAAGCACGTTTACACACAAATTTATTAGTTTTCTTTTAAGAGGTCAACCATTTACTTCTTTTGGGAAATGAAGATGCCTTAATGATATTTACTTTTATCCCAAGAAAGTATTCAAGCTTCCAAGTCTTTGATTTTAAATTCCTTTGTCAAAGTTTTTTAAGGTTTCTTTTTCTTTCTCATTATTCCCAATAAGAATTATATCATCAACATACACTAGAAGAGCAGTAACTCTCAATAAACTTGTGTGTTTGAAGAATAATGTATGATCACCTTCACTTTGTTTATACCCGGTATTAAATATCATATTTGTAAATTTATTGACCCAAGCTCTTGGAAACTGCTTAATAATGCCTTTTTTAGTTTGCAAACCTTGTTCCCTTTTATCTCTCCTCCAAAGCTCGGTGGAATCTCATATATATCTCTTCCTCTAAATCACTATAAGGAAGGCATTCTTCACATTAAATTGTTGTGAATCCCAATTGAAATTTACGGCCAAGGACAAACGAATCCTTACCTTTTGATCTTAGCCACTGGTAAATATTTCTCTTGATAGTGCACTCCATATGTTTGTGTGGCCTTTAGCAACCAACATTGCTTTATCTCTCTTTAGAGACCCGTCTAATCTGAATTTCATGGTAAACACCTAATTTGCATCCCGATGATTTTTTATTTTGTGGTAGTTCTACTATTTCTCATATTTTATTCTTCTCAAGTGCTTCAATCTCTATTCTCATAGCTTCTTTCCACTTCTCATCAGATAATGCCTCAAACAAGGTGCTTTGAGTTGGGATGGAGTTTAAGTTGGCTAAGAATACTTTATGATATGGAGAAAGTATATGAAAAGAAATTAATTTGGCTAATGGATACCTTGGATGTTTAATGCATTTTCGCATCCCTTTTCTTGAGACAATAGGCAAGTCGTAATGAACTAGAGTAGGAAAGAAAATTGCATTTATGCATATCTCATTTTCAGCAGTAGGGCTTGAGTTTTGAACTTGTACAAGATCAAGTTCCAGGTTTCTCTTTCTCAAATACACATATGCATATCTCCTAGAGTCAAGCTTGTCATTGGTATGAACTATTTAAACTATTTCAGGTTTTGATTCTTGTGGGGACAATTTGAGCTGAGGGGATGTATTTTGTGAAAGTGATTTGGACTCTTGTGAAGAGTAAGGTTGTAATGTGGGTAGGTAAAAAAAGAACAGATCTTCTGCTTTATCTTCCTCAATAAAACTATGCTCCCACTTTTGATAAGACTGGGAGAGAAAAAATATGGCCTTCCTCAAAGGTGACAATAATAGAGATAATTTTTTGTGTGGGTGGGTGATGACACTCATAACCTTTTTGTGTTGGATAATACTTGACAACAACACTCTTGATTGCTCATTGATCTAATGTACCTCTTTTGTGGTTAGACACATGAACAAAAGTAAGACATCCAAAAACTCGAGTAAGATTATTTGTGATTTGAATATGAGGGTAAAATTGAAATAGGAGTTGCATTAGGGTTTAATTACCTAATAATTTGGAGGGCAATCGATTTATAATGTGAGCTGCAATAAGGACAACTTCCCTCAGTATGATTTTTGAACCCGATTTTAGAAGAGTAAAGCACGTGTTGTGGCTAGTAAGTCTTCATTTTTTTCTCAACAATCTCATCTTATTAAGGGTTTCTATGAAGGACGACTCCTGAACTATCCCTTCGTGTAAAAAATATGGCGAAAGAAATTGGTTAAAATAATTTCTAGCATTGTTAGATCAAATCCTTTTTACTTTTTTGATACCAAATTGATTATATAACATGATAAGTAACTTTGGGAGGATAGTGGTCATATTGGACTTATGTTTAAGAAGGAAAATCCATGAGACTCTATTGCAATTTGCAAATCATCGATGGAAGAAATAAAACACTGAGCTCCTGTAATATCGAGAATTCTAGGGACCCCTTGTATCCATGGGAATCAAATAAAAAAAGGAAAGAACTTCTATTATTGCTAATTTGAAAAGAAACTCTTTTATGTTTAACAAATTCACGTGCATCATAATGAATATCATCAATATTAGCTTCTTTAAACAAATACGAGAACATTGTTTTTAAAGTAGTAAATGAATGATGTCTAAACGAAAGCGCTGACAACAAATGACACTTTATTTGAAACAAAACAACAAGATGTTGAAAAAACACGGTTGATAGTTGGCGAGTGTGCGACCGACGTATCAAGATATTAGAGGCCGCCTTTTTTTTAGCAAGTTCAATCCTTTTCCCCGAATCCTGCTTCTGAAATACATAGTAAGATGGATAAGACATGACATTATAGTTCATATTATGGTTTAGTTTGTGAATAGACGAAAAAGTAATGGACAATTTTCGAGCAAATAAACTTTGAAGCTTCTCAACCTCAGCCTAAGTAAGATTGTTGGGTGTGTGGGTTTCGAAAATTCAAAAGCCTAAGACTCACATTTGTTGTGTTGAGAGAGCTTTAAGGGTCAATTTTTTAGAAGACAGATTTGGTAGTGGATAGGACACTACTTAGAAATTTTGCTTTCATTTTGCAAGGATTTTTTTATCTTGGGGGCCGGGGTTTTTCGTAGGCACAAACATCTACGGTTAATTACCTCTTATGGTAACAGGAGAGCACTTTTGATTTAGTCTAGTCGTTAAACACTAAATAATTAACATATACTAACAACAAACATAGATTTTAAGTTATAAATTTTTATCATTTTGAGCTTAAATCGAATAGTGGGGAAATGATGAAGAACTCGATCAGTTCCCATGGCTCCATCATTTTGAGTCATCATGGTCCTTGATTTGTTTAGTCAAAGGAATTAGTCAATCCGACCTTACTGAAGGATTCTTGTCAGCAATCTTAGATTGCATTGTCTAAAAGACCCCTGTAGATCTGGGGCGACTGTTTGTCTAATAAGACAAATTTAAGTTAATAAAAAATTGTATCAATCAGATGTACCCTTATGGTTCGCAACTCAATGGTCAAAAAATCATTGGAGAACATACGGGATGCGATCGTGATTGTAATATAATTGTATTATTTGGTGGCCACCATCCGGTTATAGAGCTCTGATCGTAACCACTATTTTGTGGAGCCTTTGGGTCAAATCACACGACAAAGGACTCGGATTATGTCTTTTGTAACGCCCAGATTTCAAGAAATTAAGTTCAACACAATTCTTAAAGTATCCCAAAAATTTTCATCTTCCGAAATTTGATTGAAATAATTTTATTAAATTCTGCGCATGAAATCGATCAGATTGATATAAAGCACCACAGGTTAATCGTGAACGGAGTGGGAGATATGAAATTCTGAAGTTATATGTTTATTTAATTTAATAAACCTTAATTATCCCTAATTAATTATCCCTAATCCTCAACACTGTAGCTATCCGACTTATGCCTTTTATTTCCTTCATTCGGTCGAAGAGGACCCTCCGGAGCTTCGCATTTTACTTTTTTTCTTTCCCAATTCCTTCTTCCTTTCTCTCAATCTCTCTCTTCTGGTTCGATCCACCACCTAGAGCTCCCGCTTAAAGAAAACCGTGACCCTACTGTAGTAGTTGCGCGTTACAGATGGGCAACCTAATGCCGCAACTTGGGATTTAGGGCTTCGGGGTGATTTTTGTAAGTGTGAATCCCTCTTTCATGATATTTTAAGCTTTCATTTCCTTCCTCACCCTTTGGTTTTGACATTTGCCTTACTTTCATGTTTTTCTTGTTCCCGACAGCCGTTAGAGGCGCTGATTTTGTGTAGGAAGTGTTGTATCAGTTTGCAAGCTTCCAAATGGGTTTTAGCATGAGTTTAGCAAAGGAGAAGTTAAGTTGGAGGTGACCAAAAGAAGATTTGTCGGTTTCAGAATGACAATTTATGCCAAAAAGCTCATTTGAGGTATGTTTCGGGCGAATAAGTTTTTTGTTGGGTTAAATCATGTTATGAACCCA